TTGTAATTTATCCTCTAATCCATCCCGAAGTTGTAGCACTGGTGGAATAAGGGGGTCTTTACCATTAACTCTACAAAACTCGTCTGCTAGAAACATGGTTTTCTGAACAACCAATTGCGGTGGCATTGCTTGGCCTTGAAAAATGCCTAGATTCCTGTTTTTCCATATATACCAGAACAAGCAAGCGGTTTCTTCCATTATATTTGGAATACATTTATCCCACTGGGAGGAAACAAAACTCCACCAATTAACCATCTCAGAAATAGATGAAATAGTAGGATGAAAGGCAAGTTGATAGACAAACCAAGTTCGAGCAGCGTATTGACAAGTGAAAAGCATATGGGTAATAGACTCCTCATCCCCACCACAAAGACCACAAACAGGGCTCTCCACTATGCCCTTATGAAAAAGATTTGCCTTAATAGGTAAAGCATTAGTGAAAACTTTCCACAAGAAAAGTTTTACCTTGGGGGGGACACCCAACTTCCATATAGATTTCAAAAAGGAGGGAAAAGGATTGACCTGGAAATTAGTTAATGGAAACAATCCAAAACCATTCGTCCTTGCAAGGTGATAAGCAGAACGAACTGTGAACTCCCCAGTCCTTGTAAAATGACATATTAATTTGTCTGGAGATGGGCCAACTGGAACTTGTACCATGTCATTCACATCTTCAGGGCATAAGAGAAGATTAAGCTTCTGCAAATCCCACCCGAAAGTGGGAGTTAGCAAATTACATACCCTGACGTTGTAGCCATGTTGTGGTTGGGGGGTTGAAACCTGAAATCCCTGCTTGGTAGGTATCCATTTGTGACCCCAAAGGAACACATTTTGACCATTACCAATGTTCCACCGTAGCCCCAATTTTAGAACATCTTGTCCTTGTAAAAGACTTCTCCAAATCCAAGAGGGAGTGAAACCAAGCTTAGCCTGCAAGAAATGGCCATGAGGGTGATACAAAGCACGCAAAAGCTTCACCCATAGACTATTAGGATTGTGAATAAGACGCCAACATTGTTTGGCCAAAAGAGATAGATTAAAAGCTTCAATATCTCTAAATCCTAACCCTCCATAAGTTTTGTTTATAGATAGTTTCCCCTAACTCACCCAATGGATTCTGGACTTATCATCTCTTTGCCCCCACCAAAAGTTACTCATCAAGCTATTTAATTGGTGACATACATTTTTTGGAAACTTAAAACAGTACATAACATAAGTGGGAATTGATTGGGCCACAGATTTTATCAAAACCTCACGGCCAGCTGTAGATAATAGCGATTTCTTCCAAGCCTACAACTTCTACTACACTTTCTCAATAACAAATTGTAAACTCTATTTTTTGGATCTTCCCCAACTAGTAGGGAGGCCCAAATACTTGTGCACAGGTGCATCACGAGGAATAGAAAATAAAGAGCAGATAGTAGTCTTCAACGAAGGAAAAGTATTTCTGCTAAAAAGAATTGCAGACTTGGAAAAGTTAATGTGCTGACCTGACATTGCACCATACCAAGAGAGTAGCTCTTTCAAGAAAGAAGCTTGATTGACAAAAGCCTTGCAAAAAAGTAATGCATCATAAGAAAAAAGCAGATGGCTAATAAGGGGGCACCTTCTTGTTATACGATAAGCATATAGGGAGCCATCTTTCACTGCACGAGATACAAGTTTAGACAAAACATCTACCACAAGCAGATATAAATATGGGGACAGGGGATCTCCTTGTTGAAGCCCTCTCCCAAGGAAAAAGGTTTTAGTGGGTTTACCATTGATTAGAATTGAATATGAGGTTGATCAAACAAACTCCATTACTCTAGCAACCCACCAATCATGGAAACCCATCGCCCTGAGCACTGGCTCCAAAAATAGCCAGTCCGCCGTATCATATGCTTTATGGATGTCTAATTTAAGTGCCATGTAGGCATCTTGAGAATAACATCTATGAGCAAAACCGTGGAATGCCTCATGCGCAACAACAAGATTGTCCTGGATCATTTTGCCAGGCACAAAAGCAGACTGCTCTGGAGAAATTATTTGAGAAAGAAAAGGCTGCAATCTATTCACCATTATCATGGAGATAACTTTAGAAATGAAATTGCATAAAGATATAGGGCGATATTGAGAGAGGGTTCGAGGATTTTTTACCTTTGGTATGAGAATGATATTCATTTTATTGAACTCCTTCAGTAGAAAACCCGTAGCCCAGAATCTTGAGATAGCTTTATGAACATCACCACCAACCAAGTCCCAATGTTTTTGGTAGAAAACTCCAGGAAACCCATCCAGACCTGGTGCTTTAAAGGCTCCTAATTGGAAAGTAGCAGCTTTAACCTCCTCCAGTGTAATGTCTGCGCATAGAGAGTTATTCATTTCTGATGTGATCACTGGAGGGAAAGAAAACACAATATCCATATCAGCAGTTGTATGGCAAGCTTGGAATTGAAAGCTCAGGCTTCAAAAAACATATGTTGAAATCTCTTCCTTGCTCTGCAATAATTGCCCTGCATCATTCTGGAGCTGAAAGATTTGATTTCTATTTCGCCTCCTGGAGGCTGTGCAGTGGAAGAAACTTGAATTTCTATCCCCATGTTTTATCCAATTCACTCGTGACCGTTGGAACCAATAAGCCTCTTCCTTTGCCCACAAATCATTCAGTTTCTGAATTAGCATTTTTTGGTGCAACATATTAGCATCATTTGGTTCTTGATTCTGCATAAAGTCTAACTGCTCATGCAAAAACTTAATTTCCCCTTGGGGATTGCCCCTTAACTTCTTGCTCCAAGAGAGCAAATCAGCACGACAATTCTTCAATTTACCCATTACCTTATACTGCTTTGAACCAGTAATATGCACCTGCCAACCATTCTGGATGCACTCTTGATAACCATTCTCCAGGGTCCACTTCAATTTACCCATTTCCTGCAACTCACAACTCTGCATAAATTGCTCCAAGCAAGAGAAGGAGGATACCGAGATTGGACCCTTCCCCCTTCTATCGGCGTAGCTCAGCAAAGCATTTAAATCCCCCATAACGAGCCAACGGATTCCATTATCTCTTCTTAGACTTTGACAATCAACCCAAAATCGAGCTCGCTCTCCTTGCACTGGGCAACCATAAATGAAGGGAAAATGCCAAGGGATAGGACAGTTGGGTTCTAGGCACGATTCATCAAATAAATGTTCATTTTTAATTGATACCTACACCTGAAGCTCTTTTCTCCACCACAATGCTAGACTGTCAGCTCTCCCCCGTGGTGGACAATATTCCCCATGATCAAAGCCTAGCCGCCTTCGATGCTTCTCAAGTAGTGGTGTTTGTTGCTTAGTTTCACAGAGAAAGACCAAATCAGGTTGATACTTGAAGCACAGGTCTTGCAAATTGCATACTGTCAAGGCAGGCCCTAATCCTTGACAATTCCAACTCACTACCTTCATAGCTCCAAAAGAGAAACGGCAAAGTGAAGGATAATGAAGCGAAGGACCTAAGTAGGAAAGAGGGAAAATGAAAGTAACTAAAGAAACCGAACAAGACCCCGAACGAGAAACGGTCGGAGTGTATCAAATATATATATATGAAAAGAATGCAATCAATTTTAATTTTTTTAAAAATTAAAATTAAAATTTTAAATTATATCGATTTATTTAATTAAAATTTAATTTAAAATTTAAAATTTTATTTTATTAAATATTAATATTTAAATTTAAAAAATGATTAAAATTTTAAATTTTGAATTAAAAGTTTAACTTTTAAATATATATTGAGATTTTAATTTTTTTTTTTAAATAAAAATTGATAGATCCTATTCTTATATGTATTACTTTATTTTGTTGGATAAAAAATCATGGGAATGTGCACTTGACCCTTTGGATCAACTGACACCAAATCAACTTGAAGTGCATTTCTCCCTCTTTCATGAGCGGGCTTCGGGTCGGTCCCTCGGCAACTTATTCAAAAAAAAAAAATTCATGGGAATGTAAATAATAATAATAATAATAATAATAATAA